AAAAAAAAAGGTTTAATAAAGTAGGAAGGGGCAGTACGGGCTGTAACGGCCCTACAAACATCATATCAAGAAAAAGCTATAAACAATAAAATCAGAAAGATAGATATGATTGCAAAAATAACAACAGCGGAACAAGCTGCCAGAAAAAAGAATACTTCGTGATCCAATTTCAGCAAATTCGCTTTGAGGAAGCCGCATTTAATTCGTTCGTTATCCAGCATTTCATGCAACTGCTTCATTTCTTCTTTTTCCTTTTCAGCTTCTTCCGTCCAGTCGTTGTCTGTGGTCGTCAACAGTGTTGCATGCTCCTTCTTTGTTTGACTCAGCTGAACCTCCAGCTTTTCGATTCTCTCCTGCTCAGCACATACCTTTTCATTGAACTCTTCCTGCAAAAAATAGCAACCAACCATCCCGGACGAATTATTATTTTTTGTAATAGCTGTATAAGAAGCATGATTTTCCATGAGTTTCATTCTTTGTACAAGCAGAAATTAGTACCACGAAATAGACCATAACAAAGGCACTGTACTTCCGGTGGCGTGTTCAGCATTTATAGAAATACACGGACAGACGAAAACACACGCCACTGCAACAAGAGTTTTTTCCGGCCTGTTACAGCACTCTAGCGACGCACAGCAAAAACGCATAAAACCTGAACACACAGCAGCATGGATCTGAAACGGATAGAGGTAAAGCATAATAAAAATGTGGATCATTCACCTGCAGAATTTGACGGAGAGCATTGTTGCGCTCTGTGAAAGTTTCAGGATCTTCAATTTCCATTGCTTCAAGCAGTTTCAGTTCATTTTTCAGCATTGCAATCTACAAAGGATAATGAAAAAATATTTTGGAACCTGTAAAAAAATTTTTTAGCAACGAAAACGTAAATAAACTGACCTCAACCTCAGCCTTTTCTTCTTCTTCCACTACACCTCTCTTTTCTTCTTCAATGTTCGACAACTCGGCTTTAACTTCATCATATTTCCTTCGATATAATGCCTCCTGCTCTTGCAATTTCTCCTCTTTTTCGGCTGCTTTTTCCCGATCGAAGCGCTGCAATCGAATATAATTTTCATCAGACTTACTAAATTTCTCGTGTAAATCCGAATGGGCCTCTGTGACTGCAGACTTGCTTCGCTCGCTCTTCCGGCACCTGAAGCATGTGAGCTCTGCACAGCCATAAACGGATTTAGAGAAGGGAGAGGGGGGAGGGCGGTAAGTTTTTCGCTCCTCCTCCCCCTCCCCCCAGCGGTACAGGCACTAGTGCTACAAAATCCCCGGCCTAAAGCTAAAACTGAAGAAAACTCTCTCCTGTCCCTCCCCCCCTCCATGAAGCCGTCCTGAATTCGCCTCTGTGAACACCAGCGCCATCAAAAACACAGTCTCGTTAAATACGACTCAAAATGACTCTATGACCATCAGTAATGAGGAATTAAGTGATGTTACGCGGAGCAGTTTTTTTTTTTCAGAAAGGTCCTCCTTCTGAATATATATAATACAAGCTAGGTAAATATATGACGCGCTAGGTCCTTCTTTCGCTGTAGTTTTATTCTATGATGTAGTAGACGACACTAGTCACACACTCTATAATTTATGGCCCAGGAAGGAAATAGTGAAGTGGACTGTCATCCAGACGACCAAGGAACTTGAACATGAAGTATGAAACTAGGACACAAAGAACTAACAAAGGATGAGTTCGACATGCACATAACTGCTGCCACCAACCGATCATGCCGATGCCCAATCGTCCTTCTTTCAGACAAAAGCGCTTCTAGAAAAACCATCCTTGTAGGCGGTAAAATACTGCCTCTATTATGGCATCAATTACCAATCGTCACTTACCAAATATTTTTTTGTACCTCTTGAACACACTCGACAAGCCCTCTTGCTCCAACTCTAGCGCTCTTCTTGTTTCCGCCACAGACTCCAGCAAACGCTCTACGCGATTTTCATAATGTGATTGTCGCAACAAACGATTCAAGGAGTCGCGCATGGCGTTAATGTTCACAACTTTCACTACTACAACAGAGCAATCGTGCAAAAACGGCACAGATTTTGTCACATTTTAACA